CTATATAGGGTATACCCTGTCTACAAAATATATTTTTTAAAGATGTAATAACAGAAAATGAATGAGTTGACTGCAATTCGACCAATTCAAAAAATTTGCTATAATAATCAATTAATAACAAATAATTTTGGTCTTTAACTTGAAATAAATCTACTCCTATTTTTGCCCACGGTCTATCCGGTATTTCATGACATTGTAATTGTTCCTTTTGATTATTTCGTCTAAATGATAAGCATATTTGACAATTTAACACCATATTTTTTAAGTCATTATTTAGCCCTGGCCAAAATAGAATTTCTCTCGCTCTTAGTTTGCATTTCTCGAGACCCATATGACCTATATGAAGTTTGTTCAAAAAATTCTTTTCTTAATATTTTAGGAACAATAATTCTCTCATTTTTCCAAACTAACCCATGTGCAAAAGATAAATCCTCTTTATAGTTCCAATACGGTTTAATTATATCATCCACTTCTCCTTTGACACTTGGCCAGCCTTTTTAGCACATACTTCTTTAATTTTATTAATTCGTTATCAGTTTCCGTGTATTTTTGCAATTGCACAAACTGGACGTCTGTAATGTCGTCGGTGACTCTTAAGACGGCCTGTCGTTGCACCGCACACACCTCATCATGCAGCGAATCGGAACTCGGATGAAGTGCGCTTAGCACTGTCGGTTCGTACGCACGTGATAACGCATCGGCTATGTACAAGTGTTTGCCCGGTTTATATACTAGTTTGAATGTATAACGCTGTAATCTTAACAACATCCGCTGCAAACGTGCTGGTGAATCGACGATGGGCTTTTTAATAATGCTCACCAGAGGTTTATGATCCGTTTCTATCGTAATATCAGTTCTACCATAAATATAAGCGTGAAATCTCTCGCAAGCAAATACACAAGCATACAATTCTTTTTCTATTTGTGCGTATCTTTGTTCAGCTTTGTTTAACGCTCTTGACGCGTAAACCATTTTGGTAAACCATTTTGCATTAATCACGCGCCCAAACCACTTTTGCTCGCATCCACCGATATAATCACAGGAATATTTAAATTATAATACTGTAATAGAGGACTGCTGGACAAACAGGTTTTCAGTTCTTTTAAACATTTTTCATGATTTTCGTTCCAATGCCACTCAGTGTCTTTTTGTAAAAGCTCTCTAAATAAGAGTGTCTTGTTTGATAAGTTTGGAACAAACGTACCTATATAAGTTACAAGACCTAATAGTCTTTCAATATCTTTCTTATTTTGAGGTTTTGGCATATTAAGTATTGCTGATATATGAGAATCGTCAGGATATAACCCCTTTTCAGTTTTATTTCCTTTAAACCAAACCGGCATTTGCTTTTGTTCAATTTTAAATTAATCTTTCTACACCGTTCTAGAACTTTTTTAAGTCTCCTATCGTGCTCTTCTTTGTTGGAACGGAAAACCAATAAATCATCAATATACATGCATACCCCTTCAATATCTTCAAAATTTTCATGTATTTTTTTGTGAAATACTTCTGAAGCCGAACAGATTCCATATGGCATTCGCAAAAATTTGTACCGACCAAAAGGAGTATTGAACGTACAATAATCACTGGTGTCATCTAACTGTACCTGCCAGAACCCTGATGACGCGTCTAGTGTACTAAATATTTTTGCTCCTGATAGTTTTGAGACAATTTCATCAATAGTTGGAAGCCTAAAGTGTTCAAGTCGAATGGCATTGTTTAATTCTTTAGGGCCTAAACAAATGCGTAAGTCGCCGTTGGCTTTTTTAACTATTGTTATGCTATTGACCCAGTCAGATGGGCCCTCAACCTTAGAAATAATTTTCTGTGACTCCATTTCATCCAATTTTCTTTTAAACTCATCCCTAATTGCGAATGGTAGCTTTCGAGGAGCATGCACTACGGGTACACTATTCTGCTTTAAGCGTATTGTATACTTACCCGGTAAACATCCTAAGCCCTTAAATACGTCCTCATAATCTTTAATAAATAACGGTTCATTATTTTTATCCTCTTGCACAGACATGACACGCCTAACCACGTCCAATTCTATACATGCGTACTTGCCTAGTATAGGAATAGAGTCTACGTCAACTACAATAAATTCCAAAATATACAAATTATTTTTATAACTGACTCGTAAATTTATTTTACCAACTACGTGTATATGGCCACCCGAGTAACTACTAAGTTTTGTACTACTTTTCAATACATCGTGTTTTGTAATCCCTATACTTGATAAAAATTTTATAGGCAATACATTGACATCCGCACCGGTATCAATTTTAAAGCATATTTGTTTATGATTAATTAATAAATTTACATTCCAGTCAATATGGCTTTCTAATAAATTTATTACCTGTTCATCCGATTCTTCTATATAATATACATCACACACTCGTGCAAAATGATTCATCTTTGAACAGCGTACACACCGTTTACCAAATGCAGGACACTCGTATTTCTTATGTACATTCCCGCAATTAATGCACTTGTCCTTTAGCGACCTTGACGGTATGGTGGTGCTGGTCGACTCCGCCAGCCGCTCCGGCTGCCGCTTGCGCCCGTAGCGTGCGCCGCGGTCCGCCAGCAGCCCGTACTCGAGATGGCTCCCTCGTTGCTCCGACCCCGATTGCCACTTGGTTCATTTCTTTGGTTATCCCGTGATGGGTTTAAAACTTTATGTACGGCACGTATATCCTCTCTTTCTCTATTTAAATTTCTGACCTCATAAATTGGCTCTTCACGTCTTATATTTTCCAAGTGAACCTTCGAAATTATCGCCGCACGACATATGTCCAATGCAGTTTTTAATGTTAAATTATCTTCCCTTAATAATCTTTCCCGTATACTCGCACTAGTCACACCACAGACCAGTCTATCCTTTATTAGACTATCAGATAATTCTCCAAATTCGCATGTCTGAGACAATTTACGCAACTCAAATACATATTGATCGATCGTTTCATTTTGTTTTTGATCTCGTGTGAAAAACTTATGCCGCTCAACGGTAACATTTCTTGTAGTTTTAAAATGTTGGTCTAGTATTGTTAAGACACCCTCAGCTGTTGCGTATTTTTCCGAAGACTGGTCTAAAATGTCTCGACACTGTTCTCCAAGCACATGTAGTAATATATTTAGTTGGATGGGTACATTTTTCTTATCAATCTCGCAGGCTTTACGATATATAATATAACTATTGTGCCATTTTGTCCAACTTTCACTTAAACTTCCAGAAGACGAATCAATTGCATTTCTATCAAAACAAAATGGAGGTGGCGGCGTTAAGACACTTTCCATTTTTAATACGTGCACTCGTAATTATTACTATTACACCGATAATAAACTCATTAATGTTATTAAATTATAATATATTTATCTCATTAATAACAAATCTTTGCTCCATTTTAAAATTTAAATTACTGACTGCGCCATGTCATGTGTGACGTGCGTCAATCAAACACGGTGTTCTGGCCAGTACTGAATTTATTTTAATTTTACAATTATCATCACATTCCTGACTTTGAGAAGGTGTTTCGGAAGCTCTCAAAGCAGCCTGACGCTCTGTCTGTTCAAAATGCCTTTGCTAACGTTGAGAAGGTCTCTCAGATGCTCTAAAAACAGCCTGACGCTCTGCTTGTTCTTGCCTTCTCAGTTCAGCATCTTCTAAAGATTCTGGCAATCGAGCTAATCTTTTCGCTTGTCTTTGAGAAGATACTCTTGAAAGGCTGGACTTACGTTTGCGAGGCATTATGAAGTAACAAAAAACCAATTTATAAAAAACGTTAAAATACCTAAAAGGAATTCAAATTTCCTTTTAAATATTTTTTTTAAAAGCAAATCCAAAATATCTAAAAGGAATAAATATTCGTTTTAAATATTTTTTTAAATCAAAACAACAAAACCAATTCAAGACGCAACACGAATCCGAAAACGATTGCCAAAAAAATCGTATCAACTTAAACCAAATCACAAAACAAATCGCAGAAAATCGAAATCGAAAGCATTCATTTCCGTTCAATAAATATTACTAAGGCTTATTAATAAGGCTTACTAAGAACTGTTTCTACCACAGTTAAGGGTGAAAGCGTGACAGGTGGTGATAGTATATCTGATCCATACTTATAATCACGCCTGTAACCCTTGCGGGGTAGGCAGAGCATCAACGGATTACTTAATATCGTCTGCGAGGTTATCGCCTATTCTGTGAATTACAATGCACCAAAATGTTTGATCAGAAAATCAGCTGGTGAATTTTATGTTTTTTATCGCTCTCTTCCCGGTCCTGCGTGGAAAAATACATATCCATACATTTTTTATCTTAATTTTGGTAAAAAGACATATCCAGACATATCCACATATTCTGACCTTCTGTGTTCGTCCATCGTACCGTCGTCCGTCTTGTAGAATCACGGTGGCGCCACCTAGCTGAATTTAATTTTGCAACATATTCGATTTTCCCACGGGAATGATATGTTTTTCCGCTGAAAAAAGTAGCATATGTCACTCTACAGCCACCGAACTATCTCCATACCAAAATTCATGCCATGCCGACGCTGTGTTGCGACGTGAAAGAAGGACATACTTTATAATATATTCTATTTTCCCACGGGAATGAGGCTGTAGAGTGACATAGGCTACTTTTTTCCGCAGAAACAAACAAACAAACACGCTTTCGCATTTATAATATTAGTATGTATATTAATCTGCACAATTCAACCCGAACTTAATTGTGTCTTAACAAACATCTGACTTTTTAAGTAGATTTTATATAGACCGAAACAACCACCAAAATACCACCACTCCACTGTTCAGACAAGTAGAAGTAAAAGTAGAGGTCAGAAGCTAATATAGCTAATATATGAAGACGTTGAGAGGGACTGCATTAAAGTTTTCGTTTTTAGTTTTTTATTGAGATAAATATTATTTATTACTTTATATAATATAAATTAATACGTAAGTAAAGGAGTAAAATTAATTAAAGGCTCAAACTCACTTACCTATCGAAGCTGAGGACAACGAAGTGCAAAGTAATAGCGGAGAGCTGGTGTGGGGCGATGCCGTAGAAGGTGAAATCTTCGTCATAGACTGGGCAGCGGGTTTTGCGGACAACCCTGTAAAATCATGTTCAAACTATGCTTATTAATTAAAGATATTTGTTTATTTAATTAGATTGTAGATTGAGGTTATATAAATAACTAAAGCCAATACAATAAAAAATACAATAAATAACAACAAACTGCAGTTGCGAAGCGTGACAACTGTATGATATATATATATATATATATATATATATATATATATATATATATATATATATTATAGGTTCTATGTTCTGCAGTAAACTTTCGATAGCCTGTAATTAATGAATGAATGAGACACAAAACTTATTACTTACGTTTTTTATTATAGATCGCGTGGTCTTGTTTAATTGTAAATCGTAACTCTTAATCCAGTAACTACTATTTTTATATCGTAAATTTAATTTTCTCATTTAAGGAACCCTTTAAGTTTCTTATAGTTTTCAACCCGAACTTCTGGGTTCTAATTTGCGGCCACATTTTTTTGATCTTTGCAACTTTTAAAGTAATATTAGTTACTTGAGTCTTTACGTCTATGTTATGGTTTGAGGTGCTTAGCGGTAAAGGAAAACTTCACGGGAGACTGGAATATATAAGAAATTAACATAGATATTTTAAAGAATTTTGAAATCAGCTAATCTACGTCGGTGTAACATGGCCTACAATTCCCTACTCAAAATATACAAGACGACCTGATCATAGCAGTGACCAAGTCTGTTAAAGAATTTAAAACAGATTAACGTAACGAAAACACAAACCTGGTTTTAACTTTGTGCTGTTTATCGGGAAGCAGCTGAAGCTTGACGTACGGGTCGGGGCCGGCCGGCTCGCGACCTGGTAACCCTTGGCAGGACACGACCGACACCACAAGCGCACTTTTCTCATTCTCATACCTGCAACAAAAGTTAAAAGTCGTTTAAGAGACCAACTTGATAGATTGCAAAAATGCACAGTCAAGTGTTGATTTAAAAAGTGTCTGGAATAAAAGGCATAAATAAAATACCTCATTGGCTGTATCCCCTTTCTCCAGATAATTCCTAATTTGTATAGAAGTAGCTACCACCCTAATCTTACCTAGTTTTGCCTTTAATCAGCTGTGCATTCATGATCCAGTTTAAAAGTAAGTTATCATAATAGTTAGGCATTCCATCTAAACAGAAGTGACGTAATAAAGAAAACAGTGAGTGTGAACTGTTTCAGTTGTTGTTTCTATATATTTTAATAGCACTACTGTTTACAGAGTATACATGGCCATATGCTAGGCTTACTTCCCCCTTTCTTTACCCTTTAGAATCACCGAGGAGATGAAACGTGGGAGAAAATTCCCACTATATAGTAATAAACAGTTTCTTCATGTAGTACAAAGAAATACTATAGGAGTAGGTAGTAAGAAAATTCATTTTTTGTTTTTTTTTATTTACGTAATTATATATCTAATTATACTATATAAAATTAAAATGATAGTTTTATATATAGTTTTTATTATTATTTTCTTAATAAAATTTTTATGATTTTTATTAAGCTATTGCATAGCTTCTATCGCAGGCCTTGAGCGCGGGGACCGAATCCAGAAATTCCGTAACGAAAAAACCTCACGCTCCCCACTCCGACGGGCACGGAGGTGTGGCTTGAAGGCCGTGCATTGTCTAACGTCGTTTCTTTTCGGCAGTCTTCGACACGGTATTTGTGTGCGTGCAACTAGACGTATTGTACGACTCTACGAAGCTCGCACGAATCGAGACGAGCTGCTCCGAAATCGGACGAATACATAAGCAGCTGTTTATGAGAAAGTATATAGGTGTATAGGTATTTATGTACAACAGTGAATAGCTGTACTTGTAAAATTTGTGTATAAAGTGTTTTGAATATGAATGAACAAAGTGCATTTATTATTTATTTATTTAATAAAAGAAAAAAAATTGTTTTTTTATCGGTCACCACGCTCAAAAAGTGTAACTTGAATTAATATCAAAGAAAAAGAAATACTACATAAATAAAATAAATAAATAATTATAATTGCATAAGTTGATACAAAATGCTATGCAATAGCTTTACCGCGGCAGTCCCCGAGTGCCACACGTCTTTTTTATTTATTATTATTATTAATTTTCATTGTTTGTTATAATCTGTATGAAATGAAATAAAGCTTTATTATTATTATTATACTGGTATGTATTTGCAAGATTACTGGCTTTAACCAGGGCCGCCGTGTGCATTAAGATCGCCTTATACCATCGTGAAAATTGTGATAAGAAAAAGAGAATTTTAATAACCTTTATTTAATGGTAAGTATTTATGAAATGGTAAAGTACGAATCCTTTATGAAATGGTGAAGTATCAAAAATTTTTTACACGAGAACTGAGATATATTTAAGAGACTGCTAATAGTCGATCCTAGGTGATTCTCCATATGAACGGACTGGAACATGCCGCAAAAATCAAACGCTTCTCATGAAGCTTTAGCATAAGATGATGGCCGATTCCCAACCTAGAAAATCCTAGAGGTACAGATATAGAGCTAGATTTCTTAAGGTACTCTCATTTTCACAAGGGTTTTGTAGCAATTATCTAACCACGCTACTTGAGTGCACGTAGGCGAGCTATACATGTCCTCGATATATTTTATTTCTCAAGACATGCAAGTTTTCTGATAACTACTTTCCTTGATTTAGCACTTAAAATTCCAACTTTCTTTTCTTTTTATAGGAAATGTTCAACTTTGGTGACCCAGGGATCAAACCATATTTTGTTTCTTAAAACGTTACGACATACATTTTACTAATATGTTAAATACATTATATTTCAATGCCCCAATACAAGGATACTCCTGTATCTGGACACACGTCCCGACCCAGTACTATTTATTATTTGTAAGCCTTACTTCGTGTGGGATTTGAACCCGTGGCTCTAAGCGCCCCATTGCAATGCTAAGCTAGTGGGCCACGGAGCCGATGATTAAACAAATTGATTTTAATATAAAATTGCCATATAATATTTGCACCTCTTCATTAATTTAAAAAACAAAACATTTTTCTACATTCTACACCGAACATAACTTATTTGTTAAATGTACATCAGTCATCAGTTTGATTAACTCCGGTGTCGTTGCCGGTGGGAATCACTCCGCAATTGCGTTTTTTTTTCATTATGATAATATGTCGTAATCTGAAACGGGATATTAATAAAAAAGACCTGGGAAAGAATAGATACGAACCGATACAAGATGAATAAAGCAACGTAATAAAGTTGGTTCAAGTGGACGGACACAGGACAGGACTGATATATTCTTCTTATACCACATGAAATACGAAACTACTTCTATCTGCTGCTTCACAGTACTATGCTGCTTTGCGTTCCTGGTCTAGCCTACTTAACAGATTGAACTAGACAAAGAGAATCTACAAAACAGAAGAGAAGTCAAACTTTCTTTGCAAAATAAAATGCATTTTCCAAACGAATTGGCAGCATATTCTTTTTGCAATTGTTTACATGGTCGCGCGGATTGCGTGTAAACGTGCGACTTCTATTTATTTTTAACCGACGGTATAACCCCGTTTTTGGCGGCGCCACAGCAAACACCCCTGTATTTGCTGCATAAACCTATGCTTTTATGCGTATCTGGGTATGTGCTACGTTTGCACCAAAAACATCCAACTTGTAATGTTTCAAAACTTGTATAAAAAATTCACAAAACATGTTTTATTAGTACTTGCGTTTGCACTGCACGAAACTACATAAATTTTGCGACAAACTAAGATTTCTTGATGTTTGCGTTTGCACTGAATAAGAACTTAAACAATGTATATGTTTAAAATTGGGTTTGCTAAGCGTTCCGATCGCGTTATTGCTTAATTTGTTTTTATTCTTGTTTTTGATGTTATCCAAAAATGTTGCAAAACATAAAGTGATAAACAAATAGATATATTCAATAATATAGGTATATAATATAGTAATATAGGTATCTGGTACCATTTCTATATATACAAGAAAACCTTTTTAACGTGTTCCTCTACCATTTATCCAATTACTTACGATGTTATTTAGTTTATTGTTTGTGAGCACGCCCGCAAATGCGCCTGACAAAAATTTTATATAAATATGTTTATTTGTTCGTTTTCTATGCGTTACTATTCTATCCCTACCATTCATCTGAGAACGACGAAAATTCGGTGCGTCGTTTTGCGCACGCCTGTAAATGCTTCTTCTGCCAAAAATGGTATTGCAATGCATTTAGTGCACAACTAATTTAAGAAAATTAAATACATAATAATAAGTGTAGGTACAGACGGTTTCAATTTTGTTTTATTTTTCTTTATGATTCGTAAGGATTTATGTGAACCTGGTCAAAAGGACAATGGCGTACCGGGCCATGCCGCGCACGGCTCGTCGAAAGGACACATTTGTCCGGTCCAGGCTTATGAGTTGTGGGGTTACACTGGTCGAAGGGACAGTGCCGTCCGGTCCAGTCAGGTTTGTTGAACAGAGTACAGATAACAGTATCGTCCGGACTAGACCCGATGGTTGTTCGTAAGGATGTACTAGTTTGCATCTGTATGTGATGGCTTGCGATAAAGGTGCCGTCCGGTCCATGCGTGGTCGAAAGGACGCACGCTTTCAACTATTGTGTGCTTGAGGATGTTAACATGTCTACAAGAGAGTATGTGTTGTTAAAGCGCATATCTTCTATCGATGCTAATAATGCTGTGCAAGCTGTACAAAGAGCTGTGTGTCTGTGTGTGCATAGTGGAAACCACCAGTTGTCCGGTTTATGTTGTCATATGAGATGATGACTGATCGAAGGGACGCTGTCGCTCGCTGTGTTAGGTGTCGTCATACGATATGACGGATAGAGAACCAGTTGTCCGGTCCACGTTGTCATATGAGATGAAATTGGTCAAAAGGACGCCTTAGCTAGTGTTAGTTTGCATGAGGTCAAACGTAATCGCCTTGCGTATGCGTGTGTAAATGACAAAAGATAGGAACAGTATAGTACCTATTCATGTATCATCCATCGTACATCATTCAGTATATTCATTTATTTTATGTCGGAATAAATGAGCTGGAGAAGTGGTGATTAATAGTGTCTGTTACAGGAATTCATAAATATATACGGCCGAGGTCGTATGTTAGGATTGGCCGTCACATCTATAAAATACTGGCAAGGTTGAGAGTAAAAAGGTTTTACTCTCGCGCGGCGTCGTATCGTTGGTAACGTGGCAACCGTTGTTGTTTATAGGATTTTGGACAAAAACATGATCAGCTATGATCATCAGGTGTCAGAAAAATTTATAGTGCAAAAGGTTAAAATAATAATAAATATGGGAGTATTAAAGAAATAACTTTATATTATAACTAAAAGCATTTTTTGAAAAATATTATCAAATGTTAATAATTTAGCTGATATCTGGGCGACCGAGTTTGGCACGGCTTTAGAAAAAAAATAATTTGCTCAGGAATGATGGTGACGAAACTTACAGATAAACTTGAAAAGTAATACATTTATGTAAATACAAAATTTAATAAAATTCTTAGAACTGATTCCAAGAAAAGGATATCATATATGTACATGTATATAAATTATGCATATATATAAACATACAAAAATTGCTTACTATATATATCAAGATATTTTCCTGTTATTATTTTTGTTGAAGATTCCTTTTCTTTTATGTCCCTCTCATCACATAAGAAGGTTTTCATGTTTCTTTAAAGCTTATTACTATATGTTTCATACATATCTTTCAACCTTACTTGACTAGACATTAAATTGGGTGACGTGTCTTTCACTTACCACCCACCGTGACCCGACGCCGCACGGGCTCATAAAGTGGATTTTTGTTTTATTAAAACAGCGTTTTTCGCTGTAAGCAACGCGCTGTAATAAATCTACGAA